GCACCACTCACCGGAGAGCGCCGTTTTCCCGTGCGGAGATCCGTATCGCCGCTGGCCTCCGGCGGAAAGTCATCAGCCCGGGCAATCATCGCCTCCAGGCCCGGCCCAACAGTGGCTGAAAATTAGCAGAAATTAAATAAACGTGTACATCGATTATATATATTGATATCTACTTACCTGTTTGTAAGTTTATCCGGAGTTAGACCCGAGAGCCTTATTTGTCCTCGTTGTTTGCCTAAAATTTAAAGGGTCGCGAGCATTAGTTAAATGGTATAGCTTACAGTGCATTTACGTACCTTTTCGGCCTGTCCCTTCTTTTCCCTTGGAGCTCCTCAGGATTAGGTGACCATACACACGCGCATCGCGCATGTTCCCTTGAGGCCCGCGTTTCCATGCGAGCTCTACCAATACATGGCTGGTAGAGCATAGTTCCCGCGGCGCCTGTACCCTTTCCCAGCAAAACAAATCCTCTGCTTTGACCACATAAATATCCGAGACGGCGGCCAGGTTTCGGTCTTAGAGGCTGAGGAGGGATAAATCTGTCAAGAGAAGCATGTGTATAAATGATTGTACTTACCATATTTATTAAACCTTTGTAATACCCACTATGTGTGAATAAGCTTTCCCAGGGGGGGAGATGGAACCGTAGCCGTAGACGCGAGGAAGGGGCTCCTGCCGACTGCGAATGGGTGGTGCCCTGCAGCATCTTGAGGGCATCCATGGTTGGGTGGGAGCGCTTGGCTAGGACATCGATAGCCACCAAATGTAATCCATTTTCCCGACAATAATTGTAGATTTTTGCTATGTTTACGTTTTTGCCCTTAGTGATGACCGATAGATTAGTAAAGTGAGACCGCGAAGTTATCGATACTTATGTTGCGAGCTGTGGCATTAGGGGTACTCAGCCCTGAGGAACGACTGAGCTAGCGGCACTGCCACCGACAAAAAGCAGTTCGTAACATATTGGCGCCCAATTAAACAAAATAAATTGTCGAGGCGACGACGCCTCGCCCATATATGACCCTGACGCCCCCGCCATCACGACCTATGGCTTGCAACATAGATTGCAATTGCTAGGGAGTGGTGACGGGGAAGTCAGCTGAGTAGGGAAGTTGGAAGTAGAACGGGAGGCACGTCGACATTGCCGACGATTCGCTCCTGGTCACAGGCTTACCAGTGAACCGGTGATGGCATCTTGGGGCAAACCAAGATTTGCGTCACGGGATGCACTGAAGAGAATCTGTGATAATTTCTGTGATAGAGTGGTTTTATGGCTTGTATTTTGTTATTTGTTTATTTGAAATGTTTTTTTTGTTAGGATGTGGTGTTCCTGGGTTTTTCTCCCCGTCCTGGACTTCTAATTTTATGTCGGTTGTGAACTTAATAGCGTAATCGTGACCCGTAGCAACCCTACGCGCTGCACGGTTACCTCGATTTAAAATAGAAAAAGAGGGCGGGAAAGAAAAGCCAACAGGAGCCAAACCGAGCCGATGTCCTTAACTGGCGGCTATCACCACGGGTGATAGCTAGTCCAGTTGACGAACGGCTAGGCGGAGACGGGTAAATAGGATTTTTGGAAAAAGCGCAAGACAGTTAGGTCGGAAGCCCACCGGCAAGGGTCAGTTCCATCTCCCCAAATCAAGAGTAGAGGAAGAAAAGTATAATAAAAAATTTAGGAGATTTTGAAAGGTGTTGGATAGTGAGGAATATTTGGTTATTGTTATTTATTTTTGCTGTTAGTTATTTTCGTATTTATTTTGATATTTATTATATATTATTGTATTTATTTGTTGTCTTGTTTATTTATTTATTTATCACATTTATCAGCGTATTAGTAGTTATTAAGTATTTATTTAAAATTTCTTGGGAGGTATGTCCGAAAGTAAGGACGCCAGGGATAGGCACGGCCACCAGCTCAGATCGATGGGTCCTCCTGGCGACGACAAGGACGATGTCTGGTCCACGGACGTAGAGGGTGCTGCTGGGTTGCCGCGGATATCGCTGGCTGGGGGTTTACCCAGAACGCCGGTAGGCGGTAGTGCGGTGGATCGGATTCGGGATCAACCGGCGGATCTGGAGCACCATCGGTCGCCCAGGGTCAAGGATTTCAAAGCTATCGTCGAGGCGCAGGATCGACTTCTGGTTCCGGAGCAGACGGCACCACAAAAGCTGAACACGGAACGGGATACAGCGGCGGAGTCGGCGATGAACGCAGCTCTGGCACAGGCTGCCCAAACCTATCGCGCGTCACAGGAGGTAGGAGTGAGCCAGGCGTTGCGGGAAGAAATCAGGAACGGATTCATCGACATGATGAAGTTGTTGAACGACGTCCTGAGGCCAGCCGAGAGCAAACCGCAGCCGCTTCAGGAGGGCGCGAGTCGCCAAGTGTCGATGGTGCCCACCCCGTCGTGTCCAGAAGGCGGCGCAAATGGCCCAGCGGGGATTCAGCAGCGGCAGGATATAGGAGGATGCGACCGAAGGCCGCCGGAATTGCCGCCCAGGCAGCGACCTCGACTGCCGCTAAATGACTCTCCAGGGATCGACAGCAGCCTGAGCCAGGAACCGGAGTATCATCCGGCAGGCAGGAGCGATCGCCACGCACTGCCATGGCGCATCGAGGACCGAAGGACGGCGGATTTTCGGGACGAGCCGCGGTAATACACCAACGCGGGAGCCGGCAACGGAAATCCCTACATCCGAGTGGACCGCTGGAACCTCGCATTCGGCGGCGAGGACGATGGCCATTCCGTGGACGACTTCGTGTTCCGTCTGGAGTTCCTGCAGCGGCAGCATCAATGTCCGTGGAGTGAAGTTCTGCGCAACTTCCACGTACTCTTATCGGGCAGAGCGAAGGAGTGGTACTGGGTACATGTACGCCAGTCCAGAGTGGACACTTGGGCCCAGCTGCGCAGGGCTTTGATGGATCGGTTCCGTGGCCACCAGACGGAACACGAAAGGATGCACGAGCTTCTTCAACGTGAGCAACAGCCGGGAGAGAGCGCGGATGACTACATCCATTCGATGCAGCAACTCGCCTCACGCCTGAAAAAACCAATGCCAGAGCGGCAGTTGGTTAAGGTGGTGAAAAAGGGCTTGAGGGATGGCATCGCTAGATATGTTTACGCGATGGACGTACTCACGGTGGACGAACTTCGCGAAGAGTGCGTCGAAATGGAGAGGAGTTTCGGTCGTCGAGGGCGTGCTGCTTACCTGCAGCAGAACAAGGTACGGGTCAGCGAGGCGCACGTACAGGACGAAGTCGACGAGCACCGACACCTGGAGGTGGACGAGCTACGCGGGGGAGTCCGAAATACATTTAGGCCAGGTTGCTGGAATTGCGGGGCGGCGGAGCACGGATTCCAAGATTGCGAGGCCACGGAGTGGAGGAGATTTTGTTTCCGGTGCGGCAAGCCGGGCGTCATTTCTCCGAAATGTCCCGATTGCGCGGAAAACGGTCGGCTGGGCAGTCCGAAAGCGGGAGGGACTCGCCCAGGTTGGAATCCCGCGAAGTAGTTCCGAAGAAAGAAGAAGAAGAAAAGAAAGTACATAGTCCATCTAATAGTAATAAGTATTTATTAAGATACCTACCGGAGGATGAGAGGCTTCGCCGTTATATGGAGGCACGGAACCGGATCTATGCGGAGCATCAGCTGAGCGGCATGCGTCTGGTCTCACGGAGAGTCCAGAAGGCAAGGGAGCGCTTCAGGATGAGGAGATCCAGACGACGAGAGGTGGTGGCGGCCGTTGGGCGCATTGATTCCGCTGATCCTCGACCCTTCGCCGATGTGGAGACCTTGGGCAAGCAGCTCACCGGCTTGTTAGATACAGGCGCCAGCGTAAGTGTGCTGGGCAAAGGCTGTCGAGAGCTCGTGGAAGCGCTGGGAGTTACCGTCCAACCGTATTTTTCGGTAGTCCGTACGGCTTCTGGCGAAGATCGATCCATCATCGGACGCTTGGAGCTGCCTGTGAGGTACAAAGGCGTAAGTAAGCCGGTCACGTTCTACCTGTGCCCATACCTGGAACAAACGGCGTACTTCGGAGTGGACTTCTGGCGAGCCTTCGGACTAGCTCCAGCCGTCGTGGGGAAGCCGGCGACAAGAGGCGTCAAGGCAGCGGAGGAAATCCATGCCAGCCAGATGGAGCACTATGCCGACCAGGAAGATGAGGACGAGGTAAGGGAGGAACCCGAATCCTGGAGCCTTTCTGCGGAGGAAAAGCTGGCGTTAGGCAAGGTCAAGGAGGAGTTCCTTACCTTTGAAAGGGACGGCCTCGGAGTCACCAGCATGGAGAGGCAATCCATTGAACTGATGGAAGGAGCTCGGGTATTTAAGGATCGTCCGTATCCGATGTCTCCGGCGAAGCAGAAGGTGGTCGAAGACGAGATCGACAAGATGTTGGAGCTGGGTGTCATCGAGGAGAGCAAAAGCCCGTGGAGCAATCGCACAACAGTGGTGTCGAAGCCAGGGAAAGACCGGTTCTGCCTGGATGCCCGGAAGTTGAACGCCTTGACTATCAAAGATGCATACCCTCTGCCCAGTATAGAAGGAATCCTCTCCAGAATAGATCAGACGCATTACATCTCCAGCGTTGACCTGAAGTTTGCGTTTTGGCAGATCGAACTGGATGAGAAGAGCAAGGAGTACACTGCGTTCACGGTTCCAGGTAGGCCGTTGTACCAATTCCGAATGATGCCGTTCGGACTGTGCAACGCGGCACAACGCTTGGTGCGACTCATGGATCGGGTGATACCAGCGGAGCTCAGATCCAACGTCTTCGTCTACTTGGACGACCTGCTAATCCTGGCTCCAGACTTTCAGACGCACCTGAAATACTTGCGTCGGGTAGCCCACAGTCTCAAATCAGCCGGATTGACCATAGGGTTAAAGAAGTCGAAGTTTTGCTTCAAATCTTTGACTTACCTAGGGTTTATAGTCGGAGGTGGACTGCTGCGGATGGATCCTGGACGTGTTACGGCAATCCAGAAGATGCCTTACCCGAAATCCATGAAGGAAGTACGTGCTTTCCTCGGCACAGCGGGATGGTATCGACGGTTCGTCAAGAACTTCGCTACGCTAGCCGCACCACTCTCCGAGTCCTTGAAGAAGGCTGGAAACACAAAGTTTTCCCTAAGTCCCAGCGCCACCCAGGCAGTGGATGACCTGAAGTTGGCCTTGACGAGCGCGCCGGTCCTGGTTCATGCAGATTTCAAGAAGCATTTCTTCGTCCAGTGCGACGCATCCCACGTTGGCGTCGGCGCGGTATTGTTTCCAGGACGTGGAGTCCAACAGGGAGCACTTACCGGACCTCAAGGTGGATGACGGACTCATCTTCAAGCGCATGAGTAACCCCAAAATGGACGAGGAATTGGAAGGATCCGAATGGAAGCTGTGGATCCCGCAAAGCCTGATCCAGCTTGGTAGAGCGTGCTCATTCGGACCCCAAGGCTGGCCATGGTGGGATGACGAAGACCTTGGAGATCCTGCGACGCCAGTTCTATTGGCCAGGGATGACCATCCAGGTACGGGAATACGTCCGGAGTTGCGAGGTGTGCAGGGAATCCAAAGCGCCAAACTTCCGGATGCAGGTCGGAATCGGAAGAAGGGTAGAGACGGAGAGGCCATTCCAGAAACTGTACATCGACTTCCTGGGCAAGTATCGGAGGTCCAAGAGTGGACACGCCTGGATATTTATCGTGGTGGACCACTTCTCGAAGTACACCTTCTTAAAGGCGATGAAGGAGGCGACGGCGTCGAACGTTGTAAATTTCCTGGTAAACGAGGTATTTTACAAGTTCGGGGTGCGTGAGACGATACATTCGGACAACGGCAAACAATTCGTATCCAAGGCGTTTGAGGAGATGATGGATGGCTTCGGTGTACAGCACATGAGGACTCCCGTATACTCACCACAGAGCAATGCCGCGGAGCGGGTAAACCGAAATGTCTTGGCCGCAATTCGCAGCTTCTTGGACGAAGATCACCGGGAATGGGATGCACATTTGCCGGAGATTGAGGTGGCCATCCGAAACACTGTCCACTCAGCCACAGGGGAAGCGCCGTTCTTCACTGTATTCGGCCATCACATGTTCCTCAACGGTTCCAGCTACAAACTAGCCAGACGACTCAGGGGTCTGGTCGACCATAAAATGGCCGGAATGCAGACCAAGGACAAGCTTCGGGTTATCCATGCCAAGATGCAGAAGCAACTGGAGGGTGCATACCAGACGAGCCGGCAGCGCTACGATAAGCGAGCCCGTACGCTGCTCGCCAAGCCAGGCCAAGAAGTCTTCCGCCGCAACTTCGTGCTGAGTGATTTCAGCAAATCTTTTAACGCCAAGTTTGCTCGCAAGTTCCTTAAAGCCAGGGTGGTCAAATCCGTCGGCAGCAATGCCCACCTGCTGGAGGATCTCCAAGGCCGCAGTCTGGGAGTGTATCACGCCAAAGACATCCGGTTGTGACCTGAAAGAAGGACAAAACAAAGTATACTAGCATCGCGATCACATCTGCAATACTTCCCGTCATGCGTGGGCCCCGCGTTAGGCGCCGATCGAACTGCAGGATGGTATCAGTGCCGTGTTGAATCCCATCGTATCTCCAAAGCTACCAATTATTTCATCGTTCTGCTGAAACTCCGGGCAGCGCCCCTCGAAATCTTTGGTTGATGTTGCAATTGGAGTCGAGTGGGAGCGACGTTATCGATAGTTTAGGTCGATAGGGCGATAGCTGCAGCAGCGGGATGAGTCTGGCGGGCGATCTGGCCATTTGAAGATTAATCCCGGTTCGCTCTGGGATTACTTCAAATGGCCCATGTATCCAATGACCCAATGTCGAGAGAGGCCATGTAATATGGCGGGGGGCGATGATCAGCAGATATCGTGATAGTCGCGGCCATACTGTCCAGCAATCAAGGCAGATGCAGCTAGGAGTTCTAGTATAAATTTTCTTTGTGCCTTAAATTAAATAGTGAGTTATGTGAAAGTTCTAGAGTAGTTCGGTATTTAATATTTATCATTTATAAAGGCAGCCGGGGTCCCAATACAAAGGGCCCCGGAAGAATTTATTTGGAGTTTTACCGACATCGCCATACCTACCAGCCCGACTTGGCTGCCCTGCAACCGGTGTCCGTTCGACCGGTGCCAGCGACCAGCCAGGAAAGCCTTCCACAATCGACGCCGACGACGTCAACATTTCCCGGTGAGTCCGTTCCGGCGTACCGCGTCCTCATCCTCTCGCGAACTTCCAGCGGTCGCATTGCGGCGCTGAGAAGTATCGCCATTTTGTCTGGCAGCCGAATCTCGGACTGCCCGTGCACCACTCACCGGAGAGCGCCGTTTTCCCGTGCGGAGATCCGTATCGCCGCTGGCCTCCGGCGGAAAGTCATCAGCCCGGGCAATCATCGCCTCCAGGCCCGGCCCAACAGTGGCTGAAAATTAGCAGAAATTAAATACACGTGTACATCGATTATATATATTGATATCTACTTACCTGTTTGTGAGTTTATCCGGAGTTAGACCCGAGAGCCTTATTTGTCCTCGTTGTTTGCCTAAAATTTAAAGGGTTGCGAGCATTAGTTAAATGGTATAGCTTACAGTGCATTTACGTACCTTTTCGGCCTGTCCCTTCTTTTCCCTTGGAGCTCCTCAGGATTAGGTGACCATACACACGCGCATCGCGCATGTTCCCTTGAGGCCCGCGTTTCCATGCGAGCTCTACCAATACATGGCTGGTAGAGCATAGTTCCCGCGGCGCCTGTACCCTTTCCCAGCAAAACAAATCCTCTGCTTTGACCGCATAAATATCCGAGACGGCGGCCAGGTTTCGGTCTTAGAGGCTGAGGAGGGATAAATCTGTCAAGAGAAGCATGTGTATAAATGATTGTACTTACCATATTTATTAAACCTTTGTAATACCCACTATGTGTGAATAAGCTTTCCCAGTGGGGGAGATGGAACCGTAGCCGTAGTCGCGAGGAAGGGGCTCCTGCCGACTGCGAATGGGTGGTGCCCTGCAGCATCTTGAGGGCATCCATGGTTGGGTGGGAGCGCTTGGCTAGGACATCGATAGCCACCAAATGTAATCCATTTTCCCGACAATAATTGTAGATTTTTGCTTTGTTTACGTTTTTGCCCTTAGTGATGACCGATAGATTAGTAAAGTGAGACCGCGAAGTTATCGATACTTATGTTGCGAGCTGTGGCATTAGGGGTACTCAGCCCTGAGGAACGACTGAGCTAGCGGCACTGCCACCGACAAAAAGCAGTTCGTAACAAATTTACATACATGAAAACATTCGTTGAACATTCCATTTATTTTTATTTAAATTTCTTTGTGTACCAGCAGACTCCTCCTTTTCAAATTTCTCCAATTGATTTGTTTTCCGTTTGGCAACAAACCCAACTTCTTGACAGTAAGACCATCCTATATGCATTGCGTGTGAACTTTGACAACTTCGGTCACACTACAAAGAATAAGTGATACTCTTAGCCGATCTGAGTACTAGGCTAAAACTTTAAAAAATCGTTAATATGAACGCGGATATATCGAAAACTATGTACGTAGCGCAAGTTTGTTAGGCGAATATGCCACGCCCACTATAACGCCCACAAACCGCCCAAACCTGTATTAGTCCCGTCAATACCTATCGATTGATCCAAAAAACATCTGATAGGCATAAGCAAACCATAACTGTACCCTTTTATATATTTCAAAAAACGAAAAATGGATGGAGATGGATTTCAGATAAATAATATGCTTTGGTGAAACAGTTGCCAAGTTTTGCCAGGAAGCACATAAGAACAAGGCTGTTAATATTTTTTAGAAAAATAGCAAAGCAATATTTAATTTCACGATCAAATAAATGTATCTATTTCGAGCCGTTGGAAGGCTCCTTGGTCCTGCACCAACCACAATATCAATACAAACATTTTAAAATTTTTTCAATATAAATTAATATGACGGTTTGCAGAAAATTGCGATTGAATTTATTAAGAGTTTTGACTATATTTTGCGAAGAAACCGTTATGGATGTTATTTTTATATGAAAATAATAATATATGAGTATTTTCAATTGTCTTCAACAAGTAATTTAAAGTTAACAAGAAAGGAAGTTAGCTTCGGCAAGCCGAAGCTTATATACCCTTGCAGCTATAATTATTAAATTTAAAAACACAAAAAATGATATTCCCAATAGTATAAGACAATATGTCAAAAAACACCGAAGCTATAATTTGTTTCATATTATTTTCCTACCAATTTTCCGATCGTTCCTATGGCAGCTATATGATATAGTCGTCCGATTTTGATAAAATTAAATTCGAAATTCAGAACTAATAAAAAAATGTTATTTCCAAGCTTAGGAGGTTATATGTCAAAAAACACCGAAGCTATAATTTGTTTCATATTATTTTCCTACCAATTTTCCGATCGTTCCTATGGCAGCTATATGATATAGTCGTCCGATTTTGATAAAATTAAATTCGAAATTCAGAATTAATTAAAAAATGTTATTTTCAAGCGTTGGAGGTTATATGTTGAAAAACACCGAAGCTATAATATGTTTCATATTATTTTTCCACCAATTTTCCGACCGTTCCTATGGCAGCTATATGATATAGTCTTCCGATTTTGATAAAATTAAATTCGAAATTCAGAACTAATTAAAAAATGTTATTTCCAAGCTTAGGAGGTTATATGCTAAAAACACCAAAGATATAATTTTTTTAAATTTGTTTTTCCTATTCCGGCTGGTTCCGACTTATATACTACCTGCAAAAGATATAAGACTTTTGAGAAAGTTTCAGCCCGATAGCTTTAAAACTGAGAGACTAGTTTGCGTAGAAACGGATGGATAGACGGACAGACGGACAGACGGACATGGCTAGATCGACTAATCTAGTCATGCTGATCAAGAATATATATACTTTATGGGGTCGGAAACGTCTCCCCATCTGACTGAAATCAATATACCCTCTGCAAGGGTATAAAAAAATGTTAAAACAATCACCAATAATTTTAAAACAATATGGGTATCATTCGCACAGGTATTAAACGTAACTAAAAGCAATGAGCTATTTGTTTATTGTAATGTGTAATTCGTTTCCCATTTCTAACTTCCCTTAAGCTTTTAGTTGTTTACCCCACCGATTCCCAGGTTCATATTTATTATGGTCATAGATTGATATCTGTAGATCAAAATAAAAGAAGTTTCATCTGCCCTTAGCCGCCCTTTGGTCAAAATATCTTGATCGGAATGGAACAGGTACTTGTGTCTGTTTTTTGGGTTATCCTTGTTAAGTGTTATTTTATGAGTTTAAATATGCTTTAGTTGTCCAATTTGTATTTTTAATTTATAAAAAACCTTCGTTTTGGTTTACTTAATTGGTATAGGCTTTTCTATTTAATGTTCTATCCCGCACACGTTTTTTTCGAAGTGTGGTGCTCTCAAAATGGCACTAATGCTGAAAAAGCTCGATTGGTTGCTGAGTCGATACAGCTGGAGTTTGCTACCAACAGACCAACAAGAATTTAGGTCTTGTGCCGATGCTGTTTGCCAAAAAATATGAAAAATGTGGCAAAACTGCAACCGTGCGAAGAAGTCTGTTCTGCATAGAAATTCGGATTGGCTTCAGATAGTAGAGAGCTTCAAAGTTTTAGAAAAACTCGAAAAGCCGAAAGATGCTAAAAAATTGAGCTATCCAAGTAACATTAACGTAAACGAATCGGAAGTTATACTACAAAGCCTACTTGATCATACAGAGGCAAATACGCGGCTAACGCTTTTCGTCGGGTCTGATTTAGCGAGATTTAGCGAGTGAATTTCGATGAACGCCATGAGCCGCGGACCAAAGAATAAGAAATTCAATCTTTGGCGGTGTTCGTGCAAAGGCGATGTGGAAACTAAAAATTAAAAATTGAAGGAAACCCCCAAAATGGGATGCAGGAGGTTAGGGCAGATGAAATAGGACGCCAAATCCAAGCTTATGCCCTTTATTGTGGGATTTCACCGACAGGAAGCAATTCCACAAAACGGTCAAATTCGCAGAATAGTTGAAGTGCTGTTGGAGATCCACTAGAGAATCCCAGTGGGAAGGAATATGCCGAGTGGGACTCAAAATCTCTACATGGACATCCTGCCGGGCGCGGCCTCGCAAAGAAAGTAAGATCTGGCCAAAAGAATTTGGTTGCGTTGTACTAATACAAGTATATTTTTAGCAGAACCACCAGTAATACGATCTCCGAAGACCTCTCCATTAGGACCGCGAGCTAACCATAGGAGTGAGCGAGAGGCAAATACGCGGCTAACGCTTTTCGTCGGGTCTGTTTTTCAGCGCTGTACTCAGATGAGCCAAGGAAATATCAGAAAAAATACCAGATTCAGCAAGTGAATTTCGATGAACGCCATAAGCCGCGGACCAAAGAATAAGAACTTCAATCTTTGGCGGTGTGCGTGCAAAGGCGATGTGGAAACTAAAAATTAAAAATGGAAGGAAACCCTCAAAATCGGATGCAGGAGGTCAGTGCCTCGCAAAGAAAGTAAGATCTGGCAAAAAGAATTTGGTTGCGTTGTACTAATACAAGTATCTTTTTAGCAGAACCGCCAGTAATGCGATCTCCGACGACCTCTCCATTAGGACTCCGGACACCACCACCACCAGCTGCTTGGCAGCTTAGGCGGAGCTGGAGGACCCTCTGGCTTCTATAGGGAGGAGGAAAATAGGGCGCCCGCTAAGGAACAGTTGGAGAAGCCATAGCCAGCCACTGCCAGGATGCTGGGCGACTTACTGCAGCATCAGCGGATCAACCCCGTTCTCCCACTTCCTCAAGGTCCAATATGCCTATTGGGACTCGGAGCTGTACTGCGGTGGAGCGGGAAAGATGGCGAAGCGTTTGTGGGACGAGAAGGAAGCTTTAAAATACTAATTTGTTGCAATTGGAGTCGAGTGGGAGCGACGTTATCGATAGTTTAGGTCGATAGGGCGATAGCTGCAGCAGCGGGATGAGTCTTGCGGGCGATCTGGCCATTTGAAGATTAATCCCGGTTCGCTCTGGGATTACTTCAAATGGCCCATGTATCCAATGACCCAATGTCGAGAGAGGCCATGTAATATGGCGGGGGGCGATGATCAGCAGATATCGTGATAGTCGCGGCCATACTGTCCAGCAATCAAGGCAGATGCAGCTAGGAGTTCTAGTATAAATTTTCTTTGTGCCTTAAATTAAATAGTGAGTTATGTGAAAGTTCTAGAGTAGTTCGGTATTTAATATTTATCCCAATACAAAGGGCCCCGGAAGAATTTATTTGGAGTTTTACCGATATCGCCATACCTACCAGCCCGATTTGGCTGCCCAGCAACCGGTGTCCGTTCGACCGGTGCCAGCGACCAGCCAGGAAAGCCTTCCACAATCGACGCCGACGACGTCAACATTTCCCGGTGAGTCCGTTCCGGCGTACCGCGTCCTCATCCTCTCGCGAACTTCCAGCGGTCGCATTGCGGCGCTGAGAAGTATCGCCATTTTGTCTGGCAGCCGAATCTCGGACTGCCCGTGCACCACTCACCGGAGAGCGCCGTTTTCCCGTGCGGAGATCCGTATCGCCGCTGGCCTCCGGCGGAAAGTCATCAGCCCGGGCAATCATCGCCTCCAGGCCCGGCCCAACAGTGGCTGAAAATTAGCAGAAATTAAATACACGTGTACATCGATTATATATATTGATATCTACTTACCTGTTTGTGAGTTTATCCGGAGTTAGACCCGAGAGCCTTATTTGTCCTCGTTGTTTGCTAAAATTTAAAGGGTCGCGAGCATTAGTTAAATGGTATAGCTTACAGTGCATTTACGTACCTTTTCGGCCTGTCCCTTCTTTTCCCTTGGAGCTCCTCAGGATTAGGTGACCATACACACGCGCATCGCGCATGTTCCCTTGAGGCCCGCGTTTCCATGCGAGCTCTACCAATACATGGCTGGTAGAGCATAGTTCCCGCGGCGCCTGTACCCTTTCCCAGCAAAACAAATCCTCTGCTTTGACCGCATAAATATCCGAGACGGCGGCCAGGTTTCGGTCTTAGAGGCTGAGGAAGGATAAATCTGTCAAGAGAAGCATGTGTATAAATGATTGTACTTACCATATTTATTAAACCTTTGTAATACCCACTATGTGTGAATAAGCTTTCCCAGTGGGGGAGATGGAACCGTAGCCGTAGTCGCGAGGAAGGGGCTCCTGCCGACTGCGAATGGGTGGTGCCCTGCAGCATCTTGAGGGCATCCATGGTTGGGTGGGAGCGCTTGGCTAGGACATCGATAGCCACCAAATGTAATCCATTTTCCCGACAATAATTGTAGATTTTTGCTTTGTTTACGTTTTTGCCCTTAGTGATGACCGATAGATTTATAAAGTGAGACCGCGAAGTTATCGATACTTATGTTGCGAGCTGTGGCATTAGGGGTACTCATCCCTGAGGAACGACTGAGCTAGCGGCACTGCCACCGTCAAAAAGCAGTTCGTAACAAATTTAACATACATGAAAACATTCGTTGAACATTCCATTTATTTTTATTTAAATTTCTTTGTGTACCAGCAGACTCCTCCTTTTCAAATTTCTCCAATTGATTTGTTTTCCGTTTGGCAACAAACCCAACTTCTTGACAGTAAGACCATCATATATGAATTGCGTGTGAACTTTGACAACTTCGGTCACACTACAAAGAATAAGTGATACTCCTAGCCGATCTGAGTACTAGGCTAAAACTTTAAAAAATCGTTAATATGAACGCGGATATATCGAAAACTATGTACGTAGCGCAAGTTTGTTAGGCGAATATACCACGCCCACTATAACGCCCACAAACCGCCCAAACCTGTATTAGTCCCGTCAATACCTATCGATTGATCCAAAAAACATCTGATAGGCATAAGCAAACCATAACTGTACCTGTTGCGAGGCTAATAAGAAGTTTTAGCCGCACGCTAACTGTCCAATTTCAAAAGTCGATTTATTTGAATTTAAAGTCTGTTAGTTTAAAAATACTGTTAAGTTGTTCAACACTGCTAGCCAGTGTCATCTCTATATTGTTAGTATTGGAAAACTTAGGAATGTAAGAAGAAGAAGAAAATGATGCTATGAGAAGTTGAAGAGCGGCAAACCACAAGTGCAAGGAAAAATGTTAATAATTTGATTAATTGTGAACTCATTTGATTTTGAATAAAGATTTCAGCTATCTGTATGCTGTGAACCAGAGCTTGAAATAAGTGGAAACCCTCTGGGACCGTGGGTGTCCCAACAGTACCCTTTTATATATTTCAAAAATCGAAAAATGGATGGAGATGGATTTCAGATAAATAATATGCTTTGGTGAAACAGTTGCCAAGTTTTGCCAGGAAGCACATAAGAACAAGGCTGTTAATATTTTTTAGAAAAATAGCAAAGCAATATTTAATTTCACGATCAAATAAATGTATCTATTTCGAGCCGTTGGAAGGCTCCTTGGTCCTGCACCAACCACAATATCAATACAAACATTTTAAAATTTTTTCAATATAAATTAATATGACGGTTTGCAGAAAATTGCGATTGAATTTATTAAGAGTTTTGACTATATTTTGCGAAGAAACCGTTATGGATGTTATTTTTATATGAAAATAATAATATATGAGTATTTTCAATTGTCTTCAACAAGTAATTTAAAGTTAACAAGAAAGGAAGTTAGCTTCGGCAAGCCGAAGCTTATATACCCTTGCAGCTATAATTATTAAATTTAAAAACACAAAAAATGATATTCCCAATAGTATAAGACAATATGTCAAAAAACACCGAAGCTATAATTTGTTTCATATTATTTTCCTACCAATTTTCCGATCGTTCCTATGGCAGCTATATGATATAGTCGTCCGATTTTGATAAAATTAAATTCGAAATTCAGAACTAATAAAAAAATGTTATTTCCAAGCTTAGGAGGTTATATGTCAAAAAACACCGAAGCTATAATTTGTTTCATATTATTTTCCTACCAATTTTCCGATCGTTCCTATGGCAGCTATATGATATAGTCGTCCGATTTTGATAAAATTAAATTCGAAATTCAGAATTAATTAAAAAATGTTATTTTCAAGCGTTGGAGGTTATATGTTGAAAAACACCGAAGCTATAATATGTTTCATATTATTTTTCCACCAATTTTCCGACCGTTCCTATGGCAGCTATATGATATAGTCTTCCGATTTTGATAAAATTAAATTCGAAATTCAGAACTAATTAAAAAATGTTATTTCCAAGCTTAGGAGGTTATATTTCAAAAAACACCGAAGCTATAATATGTTTCATATTATTTTTCCACCAATTTTACGACCGTTCCTATAGCAGCTATATGATATAGACTTGCATATCTCCATTTAGCTGAGTAACGGGTATCTGATAGTCGAGGTACTTCATCCTTGTTAATTTTAAGTTTCCACATCGCCTTTGCACGAACACCGCCAAAGATTGAATTTCTTATTCTTTGGTCCGCGGCTCATGGCGTTCATCGAAATTCACTCGCTAAATCTCTCTAAATCAGACCCGACGAAAAGCGTTAGCCGCGTATTGTCTCTCCCTCACTCCTATGATCTGAGTACTAGGCTGTATAGTATAACTTCCGATTTGTTTACGTTAATGTTACTTGGATAGCTCAATTTTTTAGCATCTTTCGGCTTTTCGAGTTTTTCTAAAACCTTGAAGCTCTCTACTATCTGAAGCCAATCCGAATTTCTATGCAGAACAGACTTCTTCGCACGGTTGCAGTTTTGCCTCATTTTTCATATTTTTTGGCAAACAGCATCGGCACAAGACGTAAATTCTTGTTGGTCTGTTGGTAGCAAACTCCAGCTGTATCGACTCAGCAACCAATCGAGCTTTTTCAGCATTAGTGCCATTTTGAGAGCACCACACTTCGAAAAAAACGTGTGCGGGATAGAACATTTAATAGAAAAGCCTATACCAATTAAGTAAACCAAAACGAAGGTTTTTTATAAATTAAAAATACAAATTGGACAACTAAAGCATATTTAAACTCATAAAATAACACTTAACAAGGATAACCCAAAAAACAGACACAAGTACCCGTTCCATTCCGATCAAGATATTTTGACCAAAGGGCGGCTAAGGGCAGATGAAACTTCTTTTATTTTGATCTACAGATATCAATCTATGACCATAATAAATATGAACCTGGGAATCGGTGGGGTAAACAACTGAAAGCTTAAGGGAAGTTAGAAATGGGAAACGAATTACACATTACAATAAACAAATAGCTCATTGCTTTTAGTTACGTTTAATACCTGTGCGAATGATACCCATATTGTTTTAAAATTATTGGTGATTGATTTAACACTTTTTTATACCCTTGCAGAGGGTATATTGATTTCAGTCAGATGGGGAGACGTTTCCGACCCCATAAAGTATATATATTCTTGATCAGCATGACTAGATTAGTCGATCTAGCCATGTCCGTCTGTCCGTCTGTCCGTCTGTCCGTCTATCCATCCGTTTCTACGCAAACTAGTCTCTCAGTTTTAAAGCTATCGGGCTGAAACTTTCTCAAAAGTCTTATATCTTTTGCAGGTAGTATATAAGTCGGAACCAGCCGGATCGGACAACTATATCTTATAGCTCCCATAGGAATAATAGGAAAAACAAATTTAAAAAAATTATATCTTTGGTGTTTTTTAGCATATAACCTCCTAAGCTTGGAAATAACATTTTTTAATTAGTTCTGAATTTCGAATTTAATTTTATCAAAATCGGAAGACTATATCATATAGCTGCCATAGGAACGGTCGTAAGATTGGTGGAAAAATAATATGAAACATATTTTAGGTTCGGTGTTTTTCAACATATAACCTCCAACGCTTGAAAATAACATTTTTTAATTAGTTCTGAATTTCGAATTTAATTTTATCAAAATCGGACGACTATATCATATAGCTGCCATAGGAACGATCGGAAAATTGGTAGGAAAATAATATGAAACAAATTATAGCTTCGGTGTTTTTTGACATATAACCTCCTAAGCTTGGAAATAACATTTTTTTATTAGTTCTGAATTTCGAATTTAATTTTATCAAAATCGGACGACTATATCATATAGCTGCCATAGGAACGATCGGAAAATTGGTAGGAAAATAATATGAAACAAATTATAGCTTCGGTGTTTTTTGACATATTATCTTATACTATTGGGAATATCATTTTTTGTGTTTTTAATTTTAATAATAATAGCTGCAAGGGTATATAAGCTTCGGCTTGCCGAAGCTAACTTTCTTTCTTGTTTTATGTTGAAAGATTTGGCTTACTCTTATTGAGCTGGCAAATCTTATAGTTGAAGCCGCCGTGCGTGAGTTATGGTATCTGCTCCTGTTGGATGTTTCCAAGGGAGGTTCCAGTTATCCCTCAGTAGTCCTCAGAATTGATACTTTGATTTCCAATGTTTATTTGTTCAAGTTAAATATGATTGAATAGAATAAAAGACGTCTGCTACGTTTGAAGCGAATTTCTAGAGTCCGTTCATATATTAATCAGCGGTGGCTGAGAAGCCGCCGCTGCCAAAAGTGTACATAAAATCTTATATACTATACATAAGGGCTTATACACTAATACAAGATGAAATAAAGAATTGTTTATACAGCAATTCGTTCGAAGTGTCCGCTTGTGTCATATTTCCTGTGGAGAGGGG